TTGAAATACATGGTATCAGTGTAGGGTTCTGGAGATGGTTGAGTTTCTTTTGGGATCCTGAATTGATCAATGTTAGACCATCATTGAAAACGTGAAAGTAATGGATAGCCGTTTCGTTCAGCTGAGGAGTCCCATATCAGGACCAAACGGCCGTCCAGTGCTTCAAATTTTTCAATGGTGGTCTAACATTGATTGGTTCATGATATCAGTGAAGTATATATGTTTACGTGTATATGTATTTCCAATAGTTAAGTATCTTTATGCAATTTGAATAGACACATCGAATAATCACATTTGTGAAAATAGTATGGATACCATAGGTTGAAACAAGATAAATTATGCGTAATCTGTGTTCAGCTATGAATCCATAGAACTAAATTAAATGTATTTTGTCTTGAGACCGCTGACCAATGTCATGTGACAAGTTCCCAATCAGAATCCAGATTCTTATTTAGTCTATTTGCGTCTACAATTCCCTTCGACAGGCCAGTACACCCAGTACTCCCTTGCTTTCAGTACAAAAGTAGCAACCGAACGAGTTTATTTGCAAACATACTGAAACACGTCATACCAGAAAATAAAAATAAAAATTATGCATAAACAAGCTGTGAATAGGGGAGATTGGAAATAGACTGGCAAGAAAATTGGAATATTAAGTAAGATGGCATTAGCTGACAGGTTAACCGAAAGTTTGTGATAAAAGGAATACATATATATAGTAATCTAGTTTATTAATTATTATACAGTAAGAATATATATAGTGATAATACATAAATTAGTTTTGGTAATTGTCATTTCATCAATCTTCGTTCTGATGTAACAAACAAGATTCCGAATCTAAACTACATCAAGATACCCAATAGTTCACTCAAATTTATTCAGATTTATGAGTGAATAAATTTAATGTGAGACTTTATTCAACAAGCCTTCATGAGCCATTAAAAGAAATAGCAGTTCCATATATTCTACTTTTTTTAGTGAAATAATAAAAAAACAATCATCTAGTGGTTTAAACTATGGAAATTCCACGATCTTCATAAATCCCACTTTATTAATTTGCTCACAAACAGATGACTAGCTTCAAGATGGAACTCTTGAAGTTCTATTAAAAAGTTATGGAATAATTCACCTGTATTTAAGGTATTTAATTATCTTGAATCAAACATTTGATTCATTCAACTTAAACACACATATATTGTACGAAATCATATGGCTTATTTCTGAACTAGTTGATTCCTTTAAATTTACAAGGTTCATAAGTGTACTGGTGCCATGTTTACATTTTTAAGCAGTCTATTTTAAGACTGTGTATATAAATCCCAAAATGTGGTCATTTTCTTGTTTATAAAAATATAGCATATTGCTTTACTAAGGTATGTCAGATATAAAAACAGAAATACTATAGTGATTGATATATTTTTCCTCTTATCTGCCCTTTGACGAGACAACAACAACAACAACAAAATCACATTAGGATTGATACATTACTCATAAGATATACTGGAAAATGTTTGAAGATTTCAACATTTGAAGATAAGAATCCTTGAACTATACTTAAGTATATTTGACCATACTTGTAATTGATATATTTATAATTTGGTATGATTCTTAACAATACGGCATATTTTCCCTTCAAATATTTACGCTAACAACATATAGTACTGACATGACGGGAAGAAAAGTTCATTTTCGTTTGGTTTACTCATTATGAGTTTTATTCAAGATTACTTCCGTTTTGATTCAATGTAATGATTACTAGAGTCGTCGTCGTCGTGTTTTGGGGGGATTAATAAATCATCACTTATACCAGTCTTCGTGTTCTTACTTTTGCGTTGTGGGAATTGCCAAGATCCCTCGTTTCAAGTATAAGTGATAAGCGTTTCCGATACAACAACCAGCGACGACCAGATATAACAAGTAGCATTCAAACAACAAGACATATCAAGTACTATTTAAAACATTCTTGTTCTCATTAATACAGTGTTTCTGTTTTCGTAATAGAGTAAGAATGGAATAAATATAATATATGCTTTTCTAAATATCATTTCACTTCAACTGTATATCACATTTTGTAAAGCTGTCTTAGAATTCAATTTTAAAAATGTATCCTAGTAAATAGTGGACTTTTCGAAATTTCATCTTATGAGTATGACAGATTGAGCTACGATAAAAATATGAAGTCAAGTTTACTTTCACAATTAAAGGTATATGTTGTAGTACTAATTTACACTGCCCTACGGTTAATTTATGCTTTTAAACATACACTAAATCAGGTTTTATTATATTGATTCCAAGATTATTGATTGGATTCCCCTCAGCTTCCCATTTTATTAAATGTAATACTGATTTGTCGGTGAGAATAATTAGATTCACTTGTCTACTCAGTTGAGGCCTGTGAGGTTTGTATTAGCATTTGCATTGATCTAATCAGAAGATTGATTAGTTCGTCTATACTGTCTATCTAGTACTAATGATTTTCGGCTAACTAATAACATGCTAAATGTGAGATAGGCGGTGAGAGTAACAGTGGATGTCTATTTGTCCAGAATGAAGTTTCCCACGCTCGCTCTCTTTCGCCCGTTAGCCAGAATAAAGAACTCAGTGAGTAGACGACTTTCAACTATAGTGTTCAGATTTATGAGTCACTCATACGATAATATAAAGCAAAGTCTTGACCACACATCGACAAGTTTAAGAAATTACAATGTGGGCATAACTGCTCCATAAATGGAAGACGAATGATTGATACATCCGTAATAAATTAACAAAAAGGTAAGACACACAACAATAGTTTATGAATCAAGTGAAAGCTTAAAAGTAGGTGATTACAAAAGTATTATAATCTAAGTATTTAACAATTGTATAACAGAAATACTATGAACGATTTCTGATAGAACCATTCAGAAAGTTAACTTTTGCTTAATGTTTATCTCTGTATAGCAGATACTTAAAATTTTTACTAACTCATCGCTTTATTACAAATACTCTACTCTTAGAATTAACCAGTTAATAAATTATTTAAGCCTTTCAGTTCAGTGTATTTAGTACGGTTATCAGAAACCCTGTACGTTTACAGCTGTAATCATGTATTTTTATTTGAATGATATTTATTATCATTTACATTATTATAATTATGTCATCTGCTCTCTAAATTTGGCCAAAACAACATTTCGGTAAAACTGGGTGTTTTTCACTTCCTTGCCAAACATACTTAATGCCGTCCTATTTAAACCAAGTTTTCAATAACGCATGATGATGTCCAGATAAGTCAACTTGTAAGCTTGTATAACTTACACTTTTGATTAGAACATTAAAATACGAATAAATTGTTTGTAGTTAAATGGGTTTAACTATAATCCCATTTTAAATGATCTAGTATCACAGTTTCTTGATTTTTGTTACATATTCACAACGTTTACTCATCATGTTATAGACTTTAGTATTCTGCTCAGTTTGTCTTTCGCTTGATACTTCCTTTTTACAATAATTTACGTATTTAATAGTGAAGATGCCACAAGTATTCAGTGTTTAACAACGCTTTTACGAGTAACATCTGCTAATATAACTCGTACCCACCAAGAGAAACCAAAAGACAGAATCGAGGAGATCGGAAGAGTGTATTTGGCGATAACCAATATATCGGAATTGTCTGATCTAATCTCGCTAACGATTGCGGTAGATGTTGAGCACGGCGTTCCCATACGTGATCTGGTGCGGATGCATGACCGAGCGCCTTCAGTTAGGTGAGTCCATTAAAACATGTGGTCAGCATCCAATATCGAAAACTTACAGAGCTATTTATTTTAGGGATTTATTTACCGCTACACTAGTATTTGGTCTTGTAGTAACTGCTCAAACGTTCATTCTTAACCCACAATTATTATTCATTCATCTAATTCAAGCATAATAATCCATCGGTGTAAATTTAATCTAAAAACTTTCTGAAAATAAAGCCCAATATTAATAACTAATTCGACAAAATGAACCACTTGATCATTACAATCACTTTAAACATGTTTACTATTATAGCAGTTGACGTGCAACTAAGTTTGTTCACATTTAATTTGGTTAAGCCGTTTTATGTTAACTAATGTAACACGGATAGAGTAATTCGTACAACAACAAGTTATCTTATATCACTGTACCTTTTTTATTGTTGCACTTGTATGAATATATATGTTTGAGCATTGTGTTAGGATAGTCGGAAAAATATACCAATAATTATTGTGTTAAGTCTATGGTGGCCTTGGACCTTAAATGTACATTTCCTATTGGTCGATGTTTACTTCACTTGTTAAATATTTTGTAAATGTTGTTTCCTATTTTATGGTACGATGTGGTATGCTTGATTGGTATATAAACAAAGTATGTTTGAAATATAATGATTCATAACTGCGAGGCTGTGACTAGCGTTCTTGACTCAACTGGCTAGGACAGACAGCGAAGCAGGGCCAATCAGGGCACTAGGTCGTCCTTACGTGTTTACGTGTCACTGTCACAGAAGCGATCGATAAATACGCTGCGTATCAAAACCTGCAGTCCACACACGTTACAACACATTGCTTACTGCCTATGCATATATTCATTCTGTTAGCCTTACTATTAGTCGCTTAATTAATTCATTACCCTATGTCTACATACGTACATTTTAATCCTGTTCATCGACACACTCTCTGACTCGCTCATTCGACTCGCACGCTCACTCGCTTGCCTACTAGCTTTATGGCACTACTCTTTCATGCTTACTTAACATACCTGTAATTTTGGCTATCTGTGCGTGGTTTAATAATAAACTTAATCAACACTTCGTATTCACCTTCTGATTAATACACCGCAGTGACGGTTATCAAGAAGAACGATATACGAAGTTTAAGGATTATATTGAATACCGACCAACACATTATCTTCAGTCTAAAGACGGTATAAGTAAACTTAAAGTTATTGTGTTTTTTCTTGATATGTTGATCCCCATATTTGAAATTATTAGACAAAGTATAATATATAGTTCGATTAAGTTTATTTAACAACAAACAAAATGTTAGTTATTTTAGATGAGAAAGTTAAACATGCTTTTAATTTCTATATTTCAATGAACTTGTAAAATAATACTCTCCTTAAGAAGTAATATTCAGTATTTGAATGTTAAGAAGCCTGAGGCTTAACTAGCTATGTATTGCCTGGAAACAAAGAAAAATATTAAAGTAAACTAAGTTTAAACTAATTATTTTAAGAATACTGATACGAATCATAAAAACATTCAACCATTGTCTACAACAACTAATTTGACAATGGAAATGATAACAAGGAATATGTTCCTATGAAAGATATGTTTCCATACAATTAATCTATAAATGTCTTGTATCATCACGGTTTTGCCTGGTTTTCACTCTGTCAGCACAATCTAACATAGATCTACTCTTGAATGATAATATGTTTAAATGTTTAGAAGAGTCAAAACCATAACAGCTCTCCATTTTGTTGAACTCTGGTGTGCTATTGATATTGACATAAGTAGTACATGGTGTTAGTCGTGAACAGAAGGTTTGGTAGCAGAGAGACAAGGGGATCGAACAGTAAAGAATTGGAACAGGATTCGTTGGCAACATGAGTGTGAGGGTGTGTGAATCGGAATTTAAACAACTGCACTACTTCAGAATACTTAACTCGATATTGAAGGATTTTTTCAGAGATACATAATAGAGACAGAAAATTATAAAAAATTGCTAGACCTTTATAACCAGCTTGTAAACACCGTAAATGATTATTGACATGTAGTTTTAAAGTCTTCCTATGTAACATGACACTTCAAATATCTAATTTATAAAAGACGGAAATTATATAACCGTTAAACAAGATGATATTTTGAAATTCAAGTGAGAAGCCACGGTCAGTGGAGTTCATCCGTGTCTGTTTTGAGGTAAGTACTCACTGAAAATAATAGATGGTGGTCACGTAATATCGTGAATTGGTTGAAGTTAGACATCAACACAGTTAGATACCGGCTCATTGGTATAGAAGTTAAAAGTTGACGCGCTAGACCGAAGGCCCTGAGTTTGAATCTTGCATGCGGGATCGTGGATTTGTACTTCTGTGGAATCCCATGCTAGGATGAAACGGCCGTCCAGTAATTCCAGGTTTACGATGATGTTCTACCATTGATCCATTCATGATATCAATTTAAACTAAACAATCTCCGGAACCCCTTACTAATAATTAATTTAGTATCGAAATCTCTCCATGTTACATCCCAGCAATAATTACGAATCGTAACTTTTGATAACTATTTATGGATCATTACGATACATACATTTTTATTGTGCAATTGTTAAGTAGCTAAACTATGCATATTCATATTCCTCTTATACTAAGCTTTATTTTGACCGATAGACTATTATTATGCGATTTACCGTTCTAGAGTTATGCCCAGTTTATTAATTACAGTCTCCCATGATCGCAACCACTTCGGAGACGATCTGGCCCTTCTATCCCAAACGCAACAACAAATGCAGGAGAAGACGAACAGTGTGGCAGCAGCCTCAGCAGCAGTAGGTCTCGATATACACAAAGGGAAAAGCAGGATTCTCCGATACAACACAGAATGCACCAATCCAATCACAATTGACGGAGAAGATTTGGAAGATGTAAAAACCTTTACGTATTTGGGCAGCATCATTGACGAACAGGGTGGATCTGATGCAGATGTGAAGGCGCGGATCGGCAAAGCAAGAGCAGCATATTTACAACTGAGGAACATCTGGAACTCAAAGCAACTGTCAACCAACACCAAGGTCAGGATTTTCAATACAAATGTCAAGACAGTTCTACTATATCGGGCAGAAACCTGGAGAACTACGAAAGCCATCATCCAGAAAATACAGGTGTTTATTAACAATTGTCTACGCAAAATACTTCAGATCCATTGGCCGGACACTATTAGCAACAACGTACTGTGGGAAAGAACAAACCAGATCCCAGCGGAGGAAGAAATCAGGGAGAAGCGCTGGAAGTGGATAGGACACACATTGAGGAAAGCACCCAACTGCGTCACAAGACAAGCCCTCACATGGAATCCTCAAGGCCAAAGGAAAAGAGGAAGACCAAATAACACATTACGCCGAGAAATGGAGACAGACATGAGAAAAATGAACAAGAATTGGATGGAACTAGAAAAGAAGGCAGAGTGGGACAGAGTGGGTTGGAGAATGCTGGTCGGCCGCCTATGCTCCATTAAGAGTAGCAGGCGTAAGTAAGTAAGTAATGATCGCAACCACTTTTGGATAGATCTTGTACAAATGTCATTTTTTATTTTATGGTGTGATGTGATCTGTTTGATTTATACATAAACCGAGTATGTTCGAAATACATTATTCATATTGCAGAGGCTGAGATCGGTGTTCTGAACTTAACAGGCAGGGCTAGGCAGGAAGAAGGACCGATAAAATCTCTAAACTGCGTCATTGGTTCGGTCGATAAATCGCTGTTCTCTAATCGGCGGTATCATTCCGTTATATGGTAAAATAGAGCACACAGGCCACAAGTTATAACACTCTGAGAAAATCTCAAAATGTAAATAATTAAATATGATAGGATCCATTTCTCATTTTGACGATAAGTTCCAATAGAGATAAAAAATTTCAAAACATTGAAATATCTTCAAGAAATGAGAACATTCAACATTATAATGAATATCTTGATAGTTTCTATCTAGTCCAATAGCTAAATGATCTCAAACATCATAAGAAAATTGTCAAAACCTTATATGACAATAAAATTATACTTCAATTGAGATCATGAAGCAATCAGTGTTAGATCACTATTGAAAACCTGGAAATACTAGACATCTGTTTGGTTCTAGTATGGGACTCCCCAGCAATGTGTATCTACAATCTCGTACTCTAGACTCATATGTTATATTGATGATTATATTTATTTCATTAAACAATTAAAAGAATCAACAGTACAAGTTTGTTTAATAGGAAAACACTTGGTTTATTTCAATATGAATTACTTCGAGATGGTGGAGAAGATTTGTACCTCAGGTGGACGATTTTGATGGTTTTGGATGGTTTGGTCAACTAAACCATCCAGCTCAGAGAACAAAACTCCATCAAAGTGAATTACTTCATTACATTGTCAAAATCACATTTCAAATTATAAAATACAAGATTTCTGTATACCATTTCAATTCCATTCTTTAAATGAAATCAATTCAAATTGTACTTTATAAGAAATTATATAGGAAAAAAATATACTGAACTTACATTATATAACCAATTACTTGCCTATTCATATTAAACAGCACACTTATATCCTTGTACTATAGACTGTATTTATATTGAATGATGTTGTATTAGAGGTTACGTAAATGTACTGATCATATTGTAGGGGTAATAATGATTGTTCTTGGCATGAATCTTTTAATTGAGTCATATTGAAAACATATTGACAATTATATACTGATTACTAGTGTTTTTATGATATAATTAGCTTCAAATTTCAAAATGAAACCTTATTACTGTATTAATCAATGTTTATTACTTTCAAATCCACAAGAAACAATTGTCCGATGTAGGGTCAAAGAAATGTCACTAAGCCCTAGCTAAATCATCCGGCAGTTAGGTCAGTGAATATCGAACCGATCATCAATCCTTGTCAAGGTCAAGGACGACCAACGCGCATCAGTTATTCGTACGCCATGCGGTGGTGGCCTTACTTTCTCTTGCATCTACTTCAACTAATATATTTCTGTAATAACGTCCTTTGTGTTGAACAGTCCTCAAAGCATCTGTGGTACCTTGACACATTGATGGGGCAATCCACATAAGGTGCTGACAGCGAGGTGTGACTTCGACGTTAGCTGGTTTTTCACACCATTCCCGTCTAACTCTAATAGGCCCCCAATCATTTCGACATAGATTATCTACGATGGTGATCTACACCAACATTCATTTATATTATGTTTCATACGTTTTATGAAGACTAGAGAAATTATGTTTAAATCTCACTATCTATACTGAAAATTTAAGAAAACTATGATGAAACTCTGACAGATACTATATATTCTAATAAGAATTTATTTTGATTAATAGTAGTATAAGAGCTTAATCGTATTGCAAAAGTGTCACAGGCAAGACCATAATTTATAGACGAACCAATCACGTATGTGACAACAGGTCTTGAACTTTGACGCGAAATTCACTCATCTATTTGGCTAAATAGGGTTTTGGTATTGTAACTGATGAAAACTCTAAATCTAATTTCTAACCTTAACCATCAACTGTAAACCATGATTCTAATACCTCACACAGGTTTATAACCCCTATTTAGTACTGGTTACTGGGTGGACACTCATGGTCAGTCAAGCGTCGTTCAAAGGTCGTTCATGAATTATAGTCTCACCTTGTCGCATAATCATTGAGTTAAAGAATTAAAATATTTTTTGGAATTCATTTGAAATCCAAATAAAAGTTTGTTCTGTACTCGATAAACTAAAAATGTCTTCCAAGCCACCAAAATCTCTGAGGTAACGTTTTTTTATTTCAGTGTTTTGCTTGGATTTGACGTACCGATTACATGAGCAGAAGCTCTTGAGTTATATATGGTTTTCGAAAATCCATAAACCCAGTGTTATTTCAATTTTATCTACTAACACTATTAATTTCAAATACCATCTATCTGATTGAAATTTTAACAATTTTTTATCGCATTTAGAATAATTGAAATCATTATTTGCTTAAGTATTCTCAGTAATACTGATACAGATGGTACAAACTAAGTCTAAAAGCAAGGTCAATGGTTCCGTCTTATTTTGGACTGGTCAGCTGGATGTATCTACATCCCAGTCCCAGATTGAATACCAACTCTAGGATGCAGTTACATCCAGATGACTAGTCCAAAATAGGACGAAACGCGTATCCTTAGTTCCACTACAAGCCATCATCCATCTTCGCTGATAATGCTAGTAACTTAATGTGTATATGCTAAAAGTGACTGATCAGTTGCTGTACCAAACATTAAACGGGAAGATTCAAACAACCAATACAAAATTGAATTAGGTAATATTTTCGTTTCTTACCCAACAAGTCCAAGTATGATACTGTGATTATTCATTAGAAATATAGTGAAAAAATATCAGAATAGGTATGAAATAATTTGGGAGTTTATATTTGATATTATTGTTGTTATGCATCTTTGATTAAGAGAAGTAGTGAATTTCGTCACAAGTTTCGTTTCTTCAGTTTCTTCTTTAATATCTGCTAACAAGTCGTAACTTTTTGGTTACTCTAGATTTTTTATTATTTTTTAAAGTATTCGGAATTTGAAATTTGCTACTGAACATGGTAACATCTTCAGATGTACTAACTGGTGAGTGGTACGTTATCTTGACTAATCTAACTGATAGAATGCTATAACATTTTGTTACGTATTGACTGCTAAATCTAATTTCGACAACTTATCTAGTTCGTTGATTGTTATTTCTTATCGAATCATAATTGAAAACTACCACGTACAGTACGCCAGACGCTTGTGAAGCTAACTTTATATACTGGTTTCTAGGCTCATAAAAATATTCTATCCTTAAACTCCAGTTAAGTCAGAGATACGACAAAACGTCACTTTTAAATCATTTAAAGTACACACAATGGATGTTTTGATTTTTATATTTTTTTCTATGACTTTAAGAACTTCGCCTGAATCCCTCCTACAGTTATTGCCAGTACTAAGCCTTGGTAAACGAGTACAGTTATCCATGACGTTAACAACCCTGTCCAGTAAAAAATGCCTTGCTAACCAATCCTAACCATTAAAAAATTATTAAAACCATGACTGTCAAATTCAATAACAACCTGTAAAAACAAATAGAACATGGTCAACTTACGGAGCAGTCGCTGCAGCCATCACACCACTTTAATCAAAACAAAAACTTAATGTTGAAGATAACTAAATGCAGTTTAAAATAACTGAGATTATCAATTAAGCTGGATTTCTTCAATTAGTTGACACTGTTCTTAATATATTAGTGATTTTAACACTGTTATTATTTGTAAACATTATTATTAAGATTTGATTTAATAATTTCAAACAAGTTAAGCAAGGAGGGAGATAGTTAAGAACAGGAATAACGATAAAAGTGGATGGTGGCTAGCAGTGGAATCCAGGACGCTCGTTTCATCCTGGCTAAGTGGGTAACGTGATGGCGTTTGAGGCGAACGGTACTGTCTTCGAATCTCAGAGTGAACATCAACTCCGGGTTGCAGATACATCCAACCGACGAAACGCGCGTCCTGGATTCAATTTCTAGTGACCATTTATCTTGGTTTATAGAGCTTATGACTTAAGGCAATATCGAGGCAGTCCACCTACGATGCACATATGCCAACAAGAGATTGATGAATTGCAGTCTTAAATAAAAATGGAAAGATACAAGCAAATAACACCAAATAAATTTTGAAATAATGATATATTTGTAAAATTTATTAATTTGTTCTTCGAAGAAGTGACCCGCATTAAATCATGAACATTAGGAATCCAAATTTTTACTCACTATGATTCCACAAATATATCATTATTTCTATTATTTTTATACTTAGTTCAGTAATTCAATAATACTTGTTTGGGAAGTATGTGGACATTGGTTCTATTCAACTAAAGCTTACATCACTACTTAATATCATTTTTTTAAAAACAAAACAAAATCAGACAGCAATCAACTACATTTACAATCTGACTTCAAAATTCTGAACAATATGACATCAGGGATCAACTAATTATGCCGAATCGGTTGACAATTATCTTTCAGCTGGAATCGGGATTTGACGTGAATAGAAATAATAGTTTATTAAAACCAATAACACGACCATTTTACAGATATACAAACCACATAAGCGCTTAGAAATATTTATTGGTATAAGTACAATGACCTTTATGAGTATCTATTTTTAAAAGAAAGTAGTTAATTGATCAACTCCGCCTGGAGGAAGAAATCAGGAAGAAGCGCTGGAAGTGGATAGAACACACATTGAGGAAAGCATCAAACTGAGTTACAGGGCAAGCCCTCACTTGTAATCCCCGAAACCAAAGAAGAAGATGAAGACCAAAGAGCACATTACGTCAAGAAATCGAGTCAAACATGAGAAAAATGAAAAAAAATTGGATAGAACTAGAAAGGAAGGCCTAGAACAGAGTGGGTTAGAGAATGCTGGTCGGTGGCCTATACTCCATTTGGATTAACAGGCATAAGTAAGTAAGTTTATAAAAATGAAACAGACTAATGATTCTTTATCATGTAATGTTAACAAAGATTTATTCATGTTATAAAATCATTCAACAAAAAAAGACCTTCATTTAACATACCGTTCATCATGTGGTCTACAACAAAGACAATTGGTGACAGAATAATTAGTTTGACCATATAAAATCATTTACACAAAATAATTCAAACTCTATAAAATATATATTCAAAGATAGACTTTCTAATACTAGAAGCAAGTGATTAGTGAGTACTGTCAACTATTTATTTATTCATATACAGTAGTTGGTTGAACTAATTCTATTTGTTTATTATAGATATAAATGAACTAATTATCTGTTAAAGTATCAAGCTTTATCTGTTAAATTTCACTGATTGAAATCATGAGTCAATTGAAGCTAGACCGCCATGGAAAACCTAGAAGCACTGGACGGCCGTTTCGTCCTAGTATAAGACTCCTCAGCAGTGCGCATACACGATCCCGCACCACGTGAGAGTCGAACCCAGGACCTATCAGTCTTGCGCCAGGCGCTTAAATGTTCAACTGGATTGACTGTTTAGGGACCTATTTAACCTTCAATAAATGTCCTTGACTTTGAAATCGAAAAGTTTTCTCCTCTAAACAACAGAATTTCATTCTTGATAATCGTTCATTTGAGATAATTAAACTGTTAATTTGTTTGTATGGGTTTTTTAAATTTTATTGTTGATATTTAGTCTTCAACTATGGATGAAACTATAATTTATGGACGACCTTTGAGCGACGCTAAAGTGACCTTGAAACTATCCACCTAATAACTAGAACCAAATGAAGGTTATTAACCAATATAGGAAGTTAAAATTATGATTTGCAGTTGATGATTAAGGTTAGGAACTAGATTTAGGGTTTCCATCACGAACTGACATCAGTTATAATGCCAAAACATTATTTAGCTAGATGAACGAATTGGTTTCACGCCAAAATTCGAGACTTATTACCTTATACCTGATTGGTTCGTCCATATATTATAGTCTTGCCCAACTATGTTACTACAACAAGAAGCTTACTGAAATATTATAGATAAATAATTGGTAACTCTTAAAATAACCGGATATTTATAGATGGTGTACAGAAAAACATTTCATTGTCAATTCAATACATCTGCAAAATAACTGAAAATGATATATATATTGTTTTAATTTCATGCATACTGACATTATGTAAGTACAGGTAATGTAATATATACTATGAGTTCTAGGTCTTGCAGAAATTATAATGTATTTACTTGGTGCATTAGAGTTAAATAGTCTCTATTCAAAATTTCAGTTCATTTTAATGTAAACTAATATTCAGAGATTGTTTTCAATAAACCATTCCCTTTATAAGTCCGTATATGCCATCCTTCATTAAATCTTACTGCAATTTGATTTAAGGTCAGTTAATGGTGTAATTGCTGTGAACATATATTAGAGTAGAGGAGTTGGATAAAAACACTGATTAAAATTAATTTCCATCTGCAGGAAGACATGAGCACAGCCATCTTAGTTAATATTACTATCGATATCTTCAACCTAATCAAATTACAACCCAAATAAATACTGTAGTGTGTACTACTAACGTCGACAGATATAAGTATCATGTATGTCTAGCAGCAAAATGTTAAGAAGATCAAAGAAAAGAGAACGAGAACAAAGAAAGATTAGTGTAGAAATGAAACAACAATGAAATCTGAGATGATTGATTGATATTTTGCAAATGACGTATCTATTGTTATCAGATTTTACTTAGTGATTCTGTAATTTTATATTCAAATACATTCGATTGTCCCCACTTGTATTCTCTGTTGAGTCGGCTTTCCGAGAACTGCAACGGAGCCTCCAGAGGCCCTAGAGGAGCCGAAGAGTCCTAGCCAATCAAAGCATGATGGAGTTTTCTAGAATGTCAACGCGGCGTGCTACCATTGGTCAGTAGCATAATGTGTCTTAGCGGATTGGCTAAAGTATGATGTTGATTTAACAAATGTTAACATCTATAAATACCCATGTTTTCTGTACAAAAATGAACCTTGGAGTAAAGTACTTCTCGCATACTTTGCGTCTTCTCTCTCGTGTTCAAGTCACTGTATAGTTGTAGCTTAGGGGTTAAAGAATAGCTTCGGAAACGAATATAGCGTTCAATCCGCAAGACTTATCATTCTCGTTCGCTACAACACTACTAATCATCATGTAGATAAGAACATTTCATTCAAGAACCAATATCTCTATCTACATTAAAAAATAAAAATGACAAATTATGACATTCAAAAGGACTCATAAATTACTCACCTCTTACTGATAATAAAAAATATAATAATAACATATTCACCAATTAGTAACTTAATATCGACAACAAATTATGTTCACTTCATTCGTAGTAGCATATGATATTGATGCCACTTTAATGTAGGTGGGTTGAGGAGAATAAAACAAACTTCCGAATCTAAGTTTTAAGCTACTAAGCACTAGGAAACAAATTCATCAAGACTAAATAACAATTTCCAAAAAAATTTGAAAAACTTCCTGTTCCCTTCATTAATATAAAATCATGACTTATTACATTACTATTGAGAGCATCATATATGGACAAGAAGATTTGCGGTATGACAATCGAACCCATTTATTTCTTATAACATTAAATCATTCATGAAGTCCTGTGGAATCGTTTTTTAAGAATATTAAAAAGGTTTTGATATTCCTTGTATGTTATTAATCGATTCGGATATAATTCCAAAGGAGTGGGTTTAATTTAGTGGGATAATTCATTAACACAGTTACGTTCAATGATTATTTATAGGATCACTACTATTAAAACAATATCACGATGATCATAAACAAAAAATTTACTTAACATCTGCTGAAGGTTTAGGACTCTCGTAAATAGTAACATCGAACATGCAATCAGACCTTTATATTCAGGTGTCAAGATCAAATTAACAATCGTCATACATATATATACAGACTACGAAAATATTTTCGAATAACTTACGTAGCAGTTGCTGGAGCTTTAGCACTGTTCATATTAATAGCAACATATATGTGAATAAGAATTCACATTCAAGTATTTTGATCAGATTAACAACAGTCAGTCATTCATGATTGGGGATGGGGTTAGTGACAACATCCCGTACCAATCAACCTTGCTAAACAAATGCTAACCAGAGATAATCATTTAAACCAATTGAAGATCGTTATAGCAACTATCCTACAGTCAATTTGGATTATGGTTTATTTTGGTTAAGCCCCTTTCTTAACAGACAATGTTATTTGAACAGTAACAATTTGCATATTTCTTTGTACATTTATTATCAATAGATCATATTGATAGAATCGAGCTAAAATATTTATTGTTTAAATGTCACTCGATAATTCATCCTCCTCCCCATGTATCTATGTACTCAAATCCTATTATTAGTCTGTAGTGACTCACGTTTATCACGAGAACACGACTGGTTTAATAAAAACAATTATTATTATAACCAACTGTACCAGTGTTTGTTTTAATGTGCTTTTGTTTAACTGTGCTAATTATAGCCATTTTGTGCTTCCATTACCTTCCATTATTGTTCCGCGGTTTTTGGTACTGTTCGCACGTACTCCTGTCTTCTGCTTCCACTTGTACCATTCCTTGGCACGATCTCGGTATTCGTTCAATACCACGAGGTCGCCAACGAAATAAATCTGGTTACGATCGATCCTCGCCTTCTGATTTGTCTGGCACGTGTTTCTGGGTAGCGGTGTTCACAGTTAATCTCAACTCGACACCACGCTACAAGTCCTTGCTGCCGCCTTATGCAATTTGACTATAAATATGCTTATATATTTGCTCGTATGTACTTATTCGTCTCTCCACTTCCAGTTCGTTCGATGTGCTTATAGCTTTGTGATCTGCGCTATCAGCTAATAAACTATAGTTGCCGTTTCTCATTGCCTTCTGATTTCAAATACCATTGAGATTTATATTATGATGGGTAACGAGATGAATGATTAGCGAAGTAAAGCCACTACGTACGAACACGAAACAATTTTCGATGATATAATCTAATTTCGAAAATTCATCGCGTTTTGTCTCAATTTAGATTATCATCTGGATTCTAATCATAGTTGTGCATTTATTATATCACTATTTTAATCCCATGTACGTTATCTCGCAAACATTATTGAACGTAACGATAATACTCATAATAAATAACATTATTCCGCAAAAACATTGTATATTGATGCACTTTAGTAAGTCCGTTCTCTGTTATAAATTCTACAGTTTATTATTATCACTATTTTTGCCGAACCATTTCTCTTTGTGATATTTACATTATATTCGTGTGCCATTTAATTTTTATCAATATGTTTTCAAATAACGACACGATATACCTTCCACAAACACCGTCCATGAGGTCCATTAATTCCACTATTCCACCTTTTAAGGTCACTGACCCTCAACTTTGGTTCATTGGACTTGAAAAGTATGTTGAAGCCAACCGCGTTCACTTTCAGCGAGATATATTCGGTCATGCAAGCTCGCTACTTCCGAACGAAGTAACAGACAATGTGCGAGAGGTCTTAGTTAAGCGGGACGCAAAAAAAGACAATACGACGTATAAAAGCAGGCAGTGATAAAAGCCATCTCAATAACCAACCGGCAAGTTGTCGAGCAGCTGCTCAGTCAAGTGCGAATAGAAGATAGAACTCCATCACAGTTCAAAAATCATATGAGCAGCATAATTGGGGACAGAAAAGTAGATTGGAACATATTTTATCAGTTGTGGCTCCGACGACTCTCAGTAAGCGTCCAACAAGTCCTTGCAATCGAGGATAGCGATGAAGACAAAGATAACATCGCTAAAATAGCCGATAGGATATATGAGAGAACGAGATACAAGAGTACACAAAGACATAACTCTACAGTAGATGAAAGAATCGATGCATTACAAAAGGACATTGATGTTCTTTGCCACAAACTGACGAACCTAAATCAGAACGACAGACAAAGAAGGTCATTGCAAAGTAGATCGAGAGATAGAAGCCGATCATGCTCTAGGAGACGCTCATCTCCTACAATATGCTGATACCATCATACAAACGGTGACAGAGCTCGCAAATGTAGATCACCATGCAAATTTAAACGATCCCACCGGTTGTTGCTGACGGCTGCGACAACTAGCAAAGCTCCTATAAACAATCGTTTATTTTATGTCCAGGACGAGGTAAATGGCGCTCAATTCTTAGTCGATATAGGGGCGGAAATCAGCGTAGTACCTCCAGTAAGTGAAGAGAGAGTGCTAAAAGCGGCGAACTAGTCAAATATTAAGACATACGGCAAGCGGAAGTTGTTCCTGGACTCCTGACGAGGCGCTTCATACCGCTTGGACTTTGTCATAGCTGATGCATCAGTGCCCATAATAGACATTGATTTGCTACACAACTCCGATCTGCTGGTAGACTCACGACGTCACAGACTTATAAACGGTAACCACACCACTACAATAAGAGGAACACTTACGGAATCCGCTCCCATGAATCTAGTGATAGATAATAGTCGCGGTGATCCATGTAAATCTTTGTTAACGGAGTTTCCCGAACTCGCAAAAGTAACATACAATAAAGCAGATCTCAAACACTTCATTTAGCACCATATTATAACAAACGGGCCACCAATTAACGCAGGACCAAGAAGATTAGACTTGAGAAGACTAAAAGTAGTGAAACAAGAATTCGGCAAGCTGATGAGGCTAGGCATTGTAAGGCCTTCGTGCAGCCCGAGGGGATCCCCGTTACACATGGCCCGAAAGAAAAATGGAGGAATTAATTCTTGTGGAGACTGTTACGAACTCAACAAAAAAACGGTAGCCCGCAGATACTCTATACGGCACATTCACAGTTTTACTAACAGTATGGAAAGCGCTACTGTCTTCTCAAAGATCGACCTAGTTTGAGGATACTGTTATATTCGTGTCGCTCCACAGAACGTACCAAAGACAGCAGTAACGACCCCATTCGGGTTGTATGAATTTCTGCGCATGTGTTTCGGATTTACTAATGCAGCGCAAATCTATTGACTATTTATCCACCAGGTCATCAGAGGTTTACCTGGAGTATATGAGTACATTGACTATTTACTAGTAGGCATCTACAGCAACTACGACAACTATTCATGCAACTACGAGAACATGACATCTCCAAAAACGTTGAGAAATGTGAGTTCTGAAAGGGATCCCTACAGTTCCTAGGTCACGTAGTAACTTCTCAACGTATTGCGCCGATCTCAACAGAAGTCAATGCCATCAGAGATTATCCGTTGCTCGACTCTCGGAAGACTTTACGATGACTTCCAGGACTATTAGATTATTACAGACACTTTACTCCGAATTGTGTAGCAATACTCTAGCCGTTGACTAACTCTTAGGGGACATGCCCGGACGTTCCATCTATCAGCAGAGACGATACAGGTATTTGAGAACGCCAAGAAGGCACTAAACAAAGAAACGACGCTAGCCAGACGTAAGGGCGAAATACCATTAGCTATCATGATCGATGCATCCAATGTTTTACGACAGCTAGTAAATGAAACATGGGAACCGCTTTCATTTTCCTCGAAGAGATTGAATCCTACACAAACGAGATACAGTACCTTCGGAAGAGAATTAGTAGCAATTTACTTAGCAATAAAACATTTTCGACATATGTTAGAAGGTACGAATTTTACCAAGTACACAGACCACAAACCACTCACGAAAGCACTAAGTGCAATCAAGATGATTATTCTCCGAAGAAAACCCGACAGTTAAAATTTATTCCCCATTTCACGTTTAATGTACGACATATTAAAGGCCGAAAAACGAAGTGCCTGATGCACTATCAAGAGCAATGATAAACGCGATTATTCCGAGTGGAATCGATTATCACGATCTGGCGAAGTTACAAGAGACGGACGTTGAATTTAGCAAGCTAAGATCCGATGACGCGACATAATTAGTAATCGAAGATGTTCAGTTAGATAGCGCAAAAGTGACATATGATACGTCGACAGGCCGACCGCGAACATTCATCCCGAAACCATTGCAACAGAAGGTATTTGAAAGTATGCACAACATATTGCACCCGGGAATTAAATTCACAGTGAAGCTAATCAGCAAACATGAATCGCAATATGCGTAATTGGACACAGGCATGCATGAAGTGACAAAACGTCAAAGTACATCGTCATACTGGCATGGAATCCCATCGACCAGTGACAAACGGAATTGTTGAACGCCAGCATAGACAGTTAAAAGCGTCTTGTACATCGCTCACTGTCAACAACGATTGAGTTAATAAGCTTCCTTGAGTCATGTTGGATAAAAGAATAACAACGAACCAACATATAGGATGTTGTTCAGCAGAATTGGTATATAGAAATACTCTACATTTATCCGGAGAAATTTTCGCCTAAAATAAATTTGATGTGATCTCCGCTAAAAGTTAATAAATTGTAGATGCCACTTCTCAATGCATTTTGATTACAAACACCGTTGAGATTTATAAATTATTGATTAACGAGATTAACGATTAGTGAACCAAAGACACTCGATCTGCTGGGGAGTCGATAAGACTTCAATCGTAAGTGATACGATGCTTGATGATGAAAGCTACGATTGTTAAGAAATCACGAGATCAATGGCTCTCCTGACAACCAGGACATCAATTAATATAAGTACATGCAATGTTCGCACAATGTGGGAGACCGGATGGATCATTCAAGTATCTGTGGAATTCGGAAGATCCAAACTGACAGTATTTGGCATTTGTGAAACACATTGGAAGCAATCTAAACAATAGAGATTATCTTAGGTAGGGGTGCTGTAGTAATCTGGTCGTCAGAATTAAAATGCTTTCGACACACACGGAGTTGCACTGATGATGTGCAAAGAAGCACGAAAGGCGCTTGTAGTACGAGATTCTCATGGATCGAGGATCATTGAAGCATCCTCCCAGAAACAAATAAGAAGAGGATTGCAATGAATATTATCGGGTGTC